AGGGGAGACGAAAGCAGACGACAGAACACTGTTAGAGAGCAGGAAAGGATGTGAAAGGAGACAATTTTAGAGAAGAAAATTGTCCGTTGCTATTCGGATTCGAACCCGGGACTATTGAATGAGAGTGGACACCTTAACCTCTAAACCACGAGAGCCCCCATAACGACTCTTTATCGTTTTTCAGTCTACATTACCATAAATAACTGGGCGTATTATTGTTTAGGATTCGGCAATTTGTCTACCATTTGATGGTAACAGAAAATGAAGACATTTCACAGCTAAACTCTCTGAGAGATCAGTAGCGAGACTGGGAATAAAAGTAGATAGATCTAGGCTTGACAGGAAAACTTTAGATCTATATATAACATTGTGTAAAGAATTTTGTTGCTTTCAAGTTTATAAGGCATTCCTGGACACTGTGTCTATGGCGGGGAGTCTTTGCTTCCCCTTAAAATCATCTTGCTAATGTTTTTGTCCAACGCTCTACAAGACACATTGAAGATTATTTCGAAAGAAAAGCTATTGAAACCATCATAACTCCGGGCTGAGAGGAATAAATCGAGGAACTGAGTGTTCAGGCTTGCAACCCACTGCGTCATAGCAACCAAGCAACCAAGCAAACGAATAAAAGGTAAAAGAAAAGAAGGGATGGCAATAAGAAGATGAAATGAAAGAAAGGAGCGCAAAAAGAAGAACCATTTGATGGTAACAGAAAATGAAGACATTTCACAGCTAAACTCTCTGAGAGATCAGTAGCGAGACTGTGAATGAAAGTAGATAGATCTAGGCTTAACAGGAAAACGTTAGATCTATTATTATAAAAGCGATATCAGTATCTTGAACTGCAACTACCAAAACTTACTACTGTAACAACAGTTTACATAGACGTACAAATACTGATACTGTCCATGCCCTCCTTTTTGAAAAAGTTTTTATACTTCGTAATAGGGGAAAAACGAAAGGAAGGCAAGACAATAGAGCATAATATGTTATGTTTGGGCAATAAATTGTCACTTTGTTTTTCGTATTATCTACATTCATACTACAGTAGTACAATGTGTTTGCTCTTATCGGTTGTTCGTTAAGACTGTTTTAGACAGAGCTTTCGGGTCTGACAACCCCCCCCCCAAAAAAAAACAACAACAACCTCTTACACCAAAGCTAGCAAATTAGCCATTCAAGCAGGCATCGAGCTTTGATTTCACATAATCTTATTATTTCCCCAGTACTCTCCCCTCAAAAGCCCGCGTCTTTTCTGTAGGAGCACCGGCATGTCATATAAAATTTGCATGTTATTTGCATACTTTTCTCGTGCTTTCAGGCTATTTCCTGGCCAAATTCCACCTGTTTATACAAAAAGACACTATTTATGAGGCACAGGCACAATAGCACGCACTCTTACATCACGCCACTTCCCCGTAGATCCAATCTAAATGCTGTCAAGTCTCCTTATCAGGACTAACAGAATTTAAGTTAGCATTGGGAGTGAGGTGCAGATGTCATTGTGGTCCTTGTTCACTTGTCCCCATAGAGAGAAAGAGAAAGAGAGAGAGAGAGATAGAGAGAGAGAGAGAGAGAGAGAGAGAGAGAGAGAGAGAGAGAGAGGTGGTTGGCGGGTGCTCTGGTGTGGTTTGGTCCTTCTTTTCTGTCAAACATCTATCGTCCTGACCTCTCCGTCTCCTTTTTGTGTTTGTTACTCGCTTATAACACCTCTAATCTTCGGCACTTATGACCTTATTGTGTTGCAAGTGCCGTAATACTGTTACTTAAATTAATTAGGAGAGAGAGAGAGAGAGAGAGAGGGGGGGGGGGCAGACAGACAGACAGACAGAGAGACAGACAGACAGACAGACAGACAGAGCGGAGGGGGGAGTGAGAGAGAAAATGCTTATGAAATGGAGGTGTTTTAGCACGTAAAACATGTATTTAAGTCCTTTTGTGTTCTGTATATGAGAGCACCTGATCTCTGTAATACCGCTGTCATTATAAGCGACCACGACTAATTTTTCCCTGCGAGATGAATAAAGATTGTCATTATAATTATTGTCTCTCCACATCTCAATTCTCTCTCTCTCTCTCTCTCTCTCTCTCTCTCTCTCTCTCTCTCTCTCTCTCTCTCTCTCTCTCTCTCTCTCTCTCTCTCTCTCAGTCTTTGTCATGATAAATAGAAAACGCACTTTAAAAATAAAGAAAGGAGGAAGAAGATTTGAAAAATAGAACGATTTGACGACTTCCTACTGAAATCAAACCGACTAACGGAGAATCTTGAGCAAATCCATTTTCTACATTTTATTTTTGTACACGGCGATCAATTGATTTTTTGTGCAGTTCTTTTCGGGAAGGTTTGGCCTTTTCGGTAAATTGGCATTTGATGTGACCTCAACTGGTACCTTTTTCTAAGGTGCAAGAACTTACAAACCTCTATTGCCGTAAATTCATGAAAAATAGCTTTCTGCCTGAGATCGCACGTATTGGAACCCCCCTCCCCCTCCCCCCCCGCCCTCTACGCCATTATTAACTCAACGTGCCGAAAGTTTGATCCTGAACCCGTTCCCCTTCTGTAATGGAATAGTTTAAGTAAGGTAGTAGGGATCGTAACTGGTAAATAATCGTTCATATCTGTGAGCTTTGAGTTTGTGAGTATTTTTATTTATAATTTGAAGAAAATTGTTGTACGTGTGAAGCACAACGTATATTATACGTGTGAAGCACACTGTTATACTACGTGCGAAGCACTATGTTTTACTTGTGAAGCAAAATGTTACACCTGTGTGAAGCACAATGTTATACGCGTGGAGCACAATGTTATACATGTAGTACCCCTGCTCACCACTGGGAGGTAGGTAATAGGGCTTCAAGCAGGATACAATTTAAGTTGCATATCGATGATTGAAATGGGATATTAATAAGTGAAAGATGAGTATAAAATAAATCATGAACCTTTAGTGGAACAGTTAAGAAAATCATTCTCTTGACAACATATTCCACAGTAATGTCTTGCTTTGCAAATTCTTCTTACAGCTTTAGTGTTACAGTTTTATAGTGCACTCAAAATTCGTAGCGAAACTATCCTAAAATATCTCTTTAACAGTTAAATCAATGTCTTCCATACTTTGCACACCGGATTGTTTCAATTTGTCTGGGATTAATCATATTTTTCCACAACAATAAAGAGCTTTTCTTCATAAATTTATGTAAAATACTGGGGGCCCTTGTGGCCTACTGGTTAAGGTGTTCGCCTATCATTCAAAGGTCCCGGGTTCGAATCCAGGTAGCGACCGAAAAAAATGTTCTTCTCTAAAAATTCTCCTTTCACCTTCTTTCCTGCTCTCTCGTCTGCTGTCGTCTCCACTTTCTGCCCCCACCCCATCACCCCCTTTGCCCCCCTACCCTGGGCTTCTGACTCTTTCTGCAGCCTTTCTACTGCTACTCCTTGGGTCCTTCTTACTGCTCTTTCAGCCACACCCCTGATCTTCTGGTAGGAAAGATCTACACCTAGCCTTCTCGGCCAAGGGCGAAAAATCTCGGAGGTCCCGCGTGCAATTTGCGCACGCTAAAGATCCCTTGGAGGACTGAAATCGATACGAGTAGGCTTCAGCCGCTACCCGTGCAAAATTCAAAAATTTCCTACCAACTAAAAATGTTAAATGTGTCCCGCGCGTTCATACGACCTTATGCAGTTGCGAGCGCCGTAAAACCTTCCCCCCCCCCCCAAAAAAAAAACAACAAAAAAACAAAAAAACAAAAAAACAACCAAATACAACCAAAAAAACAACAACCGAAAAACAAAAATACTATTTAAGCTCTATCGCGACGGGATTGTTCACAGAACTTCCCGTTCCCGCTTCTCACAAACATTTTGCGTTCGCATATGGCCAACGTCATAGCTTACAAATGACACTTTACTTTGGCAAAACTTGTAACAAGAAATTCATTTAATAGTGAACCCATTTTTTGCACTAAAGGTTCTCAAAACACGCGTTCATTAAAATAATGTCACAATTAGAACAAAAAATGACAGATTTACTTTTCTTTTTAAAAAAGATATTGCTCCAGTTGTAGACCTATTAACCTCTGCAGAAACCACCCATTTAGGCTTTTACAAAGATATTAATCTGTTAAGAAAAATTGATACGAGCCATTAAGCGAAAGCGGAAGAGCAATATGTTCGATAGTTTTAGGAAGTATTTGACAATAAGTTGGGCCATGAATTTTTTACCGCATTATTATAGTACGTCTCTTTTTCTCTGTAAATACGGCGCCTGCAAAACGTCCACAATCCACACGTTGTGTGACGTAAGCTTTTTGACCTTGTCTGACATCTAGATCTAATTTGCACACCCTGGTGGCTCCAGATAGACTAACCACCCCCCCCCCCCTCCCGCTCTCTCCTTCTCTCTCTCTCTCTCTCTCTCTCTCTCTCTCTCTCTCTCTCTCTCTCTCTCTCTCTCTCTCTCTCTCTCTCTCTCTCTCTCTCTCTGGGAATGCAGGTGCAGTAGAAGGGAGAGCATTCGATTCCACTTCTACTGCCACATTTAGCCATATCGATACCGATCGGGGGGAAAGGGGGGGGGGTGGTGTTCAGGATCAGCTTTTTCGACTGGTGACCTTTTTTGAACGGGTAGGGGGCGAATTCTGGATTCCTTCTGAGATCATACTTGAAGAACACATAGGAGTTGTCCGCAAAGAAAAATGTAACGTAACCAAATGGACAGATGATAAAATATGTCTCTATAGGTGCAGTTTAAGGCCCTTTTTGTTTTTTGTTTTTTGCTGGGGGGTTTTCGTAAGTGTTTTACGGCTCTCTCAACTGCATAAGGTCATATGAGCGCGCGGGACACATTTAACATTTTCAGTTGGTAGGAAATTTTGAATTTTGCCCGGGTGGCGGCCGAAGCCTACTTTTATCGATTTTGGACCTGCAAGGGATCTTATTATCGTGCGCAACTTGCACACGGGGTTTTCACCTTTTGGGTAGTAGGAGGGGGGGGGGGTGCGTCTATCCCGTAACATAACAGCAGAAATAAGGAACTATTCAATAAAATAATTTCCGCACTGGGATCAAATTCGTGTCTTCTGAAGCTGTGATTGGAATCCCAAACCTTAGCATGTGTGCCATAACAACCAATGGAACACAGGCAACAAAAATTCCTCGCTTTTTGTATCTCGTTCTTACACAACTCCTCAAGCACGATCACTCTGGTGTGCTGACTAAAGCTATTGTCCTCTGATTTGTTTCAGTTTTGAAAACAGAACTTAACATTGGACCCAAGGAATAGCTGTATCTTGATGGTTGCTGACCGGAATTCATCAAAACAAGTCAGTACCAGAACTTCACCTAGACTGCTGGTCTATGAAATCCTTTAAAATGACGTCACAACGCCAAAATCTTTCAAGAACCTTTTACCCAGTTTTAACAACAGCTGCCGTATTTCTGACCTTTGCGTACCTACTGGTGATAACCCCACCAAGTGTGCACAGCGAAGGGCAGTTTACGTGGATGAAGCTTGATCAATTCGACGACATCGACAATAAGATCAGATCAGTTAACGCCAAGAACTGTCAGTCGAAAAGCAAGGCCGAGCTTGTTCTGCGTCGAGACACTGTTGCTCAACTTCCGGTGTACAATCAACTGCTAAGCAGAATATGGTATCGGAACAGGACCACTCTTATACATATTCATAATATGGCGCTGAACAGGGCTTTCTTCTTTAGGTGAGTCTATGCTCTTTTCTTTATCATCATCACCATCATCATCATCATCATCATCATCATCATCATCATCATCATCATCATCATCATCTTCATCATCATCATCATCATCATCATCATCATCATCATCATTGTTTGGAAAGTAGAGAAAGATGGAGAGTCTTTTTGTTGTTGTTCTTCTTCTTTTTCATTTTCTTCTTCTTCGTCTTCTTCTTCTTCGTCATGACCTTCTTCCAGCGCAAATAGGAAACATCTCTTAGAAAAGACAGCACCCAAAAGTGGGTGTTCGTTTCTCACAAAAATCTGAATTAAATCTCATTGACCCTTTAAAACGAAAAACTCTTTAACTTGGTATTTGAGTGAAGAGAAACATTGGGACAGCTGAACAAGTACTATCTTCATCGTCCTCGAACGCCCCACAAGAGAGTTTAGTAAAGAATATGGACAGATATTAGGATGCATCTCATAATTTTTGACTTTCTGGCTAATGACTGGTAGTTTGCTAGACAAAAAGAGATGAGCTAGATGTATACGCCAGCGAGCAATCCATGACCCCTCAAAAACTCCTATTTCCACTTTTAATGCTATACACCAGTACTTGTCAACTTTTTATAAGACCAGCGCCCACTTTTGCCAACTTTTTCAGTTATTTCCAAGCGGGGTATTAAAATTTTAATAGTACCTGTCACAACTCGAGAACCCACCACCTACCACAATTACCAAATCACCCAGGTTGGCAAGCACTGCTATACAGGAACACAATATTCTATAAGAAACTCAGTAACTCGAGCGACGTTCTTCATCATAACAAATTTTGAGACGTATAAGCGATTACTCAAGACTCATTTGTATAATTCTTAGTTATAGTGTATTAGTAAGTGCTAAAAAAAATTCTGCTGTCATTTCGTGTTTATAGTTAATGCATGGTTGTGAAAGTTTTTATTTATGTGGTTGAACTGTTTTTTCTTGTTTCTGGGAAATATTTTCTCTTGTGTTAATGATCATGTGATTGGTGTAAAGCGCTCAGAGCTCATACTAGTATCTGCTTTAAATATGCAATCTATTATTATTATTATTATTATTATTATTATTATTATTATTATTATTATTATTATTATTATCTGACAGCTACGTCCTCCAGAAGATGAACGACTCCAGAAGTTTCGGCCTCCAGCCTAACTGGATGTACTATTACTTCAGCACCGTCGCGGACGTGAATGCTAACCCAAGCATGCTCAATGGCAGCGCAATGTACTTCGACAACCATTGTCACTATCCAAACTGGTAAGAATAGACGTTACTTGTTGCCATTTTAGTATACATCTAGCTCATACTTTTGTTTTGTAGGCTTTTCCTTTAGTTTAGTTTTAGTACGGTTTTACGGCGCTCCCAACTGCATAATAAGGTGATATGAGCACCCAAAGGGTGGATGTCAACAGATAAGTCCAAACGTGAAGTCAAGTTTACTCTGCTCACCTCTCTAGCCTCAACAGGACAAAGTCTGCTTCGACTGTTACGGCACCCCGGAAATAGCAGTTCACAAGAGAATGGCAAACATACAAAAGAAATAGAAGCAAAATGACGATAATAAGGATGAGGAAAGAAAAAGCAGCAGTTCCTCCTATGTTGTTCCAGCACATTATGAGCATGAATGACATTGATAAACCAGCCCATTTACAATTCTACTGTGCGTAAGACCATGATAATAATCCCCTCTTTGGGAATGGCCGAAAGGCACTTCAGACAGTAGCACTGCCCTGTGAAAGGGAGGGGGGAGGCTCTTCCAGTCGTGGGTTATCTTTACATGCACACAGAGCATAGATACAGTACTGATCGCACCCATCAACACGCTTTACTGCATTTAGAGTTGGAGCAGTTAAATACTTATCAAGGCACCCTCATATTCCCAAATAATTGAATTTCAAATACTTGACACCGCAGTCGACATAACTTAGGTTATGTAAAAGGCTGACAACATCTGCTATACTGTGGCTTTACTGTAAAAGCCCAAACTGGGTTGGCTTAAGCACGATTAGTAGCCTAGCAGGAACACAGACATGCTCAAAGAAATACATTTCTTCTTTCGGGAATCAAACTCACACTTTTTTAAAGAAACAAAGCAATGTGCTAGCTTGTGGGTGAATTTCCGGGGTGCCTTGATAGTCGAAGCACACTTTGTGCTGTTGAAGCTAGAGAGGTGAGCAGAGTACGTCTGATTCCCTGTAAGTAGTGTAAGGACTTTTCTGTGGACATCCACCCCTTGGCGCTCATATGACCTTATGTAGTTGCGAGCGTTCAAAACCTCTACTAAAACAAACAATATTGATGTTGTGCTTTTGTCAGCTTCAACGATAAAAAGAATAAGAGCAGCAGTGTGTAAAACCAATGAGTCTACATAACAAGAGGGGCCACTTCTCTCTTTGAGCCAATTAAAAAAGTGTCCTCAAAATTCGGTGGCGCCCTCTTTGCAAAAGCGCACCTTTTGCGAACAGAGTTATCCTACTTGAGTTTTTAAAAATCAAAGTGAAACTAGCATGTTTTGGGATAAATTTCGGAAGAACGCTTTTTTAAAATGGTTACGCTGACAAAAAACCTCTTCCGGAGGAAAGGGTGATTGTTTTCTTCGTTTAATTTGACTTTAGAATGAAAGGCGAGAGGTCATTAAAATATAAATAACCTAAAACTCCGCACTGAACGAACCCGAACTACTGATGAACAGCAGTCGATCTGCGCACGCAAGGAGGTGCTAGTCCTATTCTTCTTCTGGAAAAACGAAAGAGAGCTTCAAAACAGACTGCAGCGCCCTCTGAAGCAAAGAGCATACTTCCTGCGGACACTTTTTTGGCTGAGTGGCCTATCTTGTTATTTACTATCTTTGGTAAAACTCATATTCGTATATTGTATTAGTTCAAAAAAGTACCTGTGCAAAATCAATCTATATGAACTCGTTCAAAGGAAAGAAGTAAATGTTACGTAAAAAAGAGTAGCATTATGTAAATCACGTTTGTTACATTAATTAGTTGGGAGAAGTACCTATTCAAGTGTGTATATGAACTCGTTCTCAGGGAAGAAGGAAATGTTGCGTAATTTGCATAACTGTTGGTATGCCTGTTTGCTCTACCTACAGGAGTTAACAGAATTGTTCTTTTGAAGTACCCTCACCTATCTCTCTTTCTGTCTGTCTGTCTGTCTGTTTCTCTCGTATCTTTATTTACGTGTATCTCTATCTCTCTCTGTCTCTCTCTCTGTCTGTCTGTCTCTCTCTCTCTCTCTCTCACACACACACACACACACACACACACACACACACACACACACACACACACAAACAAACACACACACACATACCTTTGCTCTCTCTTTAGGTTCACAAAATTTGGAGTTCGCTCTGCGATTATATTGTTGATATCGATTTTGAAAATTAAAAACAAATTGTTTTTCTCCTCTGTGGTAGTATTCACAGAGAAATAATTGAATCTAATTCCCAAGAAATAGTTCCAAAGAAATAGAATCTAATTTCAAAGAAATAATTCCAAAAGTAATTATCCAAAGTGTTGGCTCCTCCCTTGTCGAATCGCTTGTAATGCAACGGGTATGATACTATTTTATATGTTGTGAAACGTTAATCATTTTAGGCAGATACGTGCAATTGTATAACACGTTTGTGATCTAAAATTGGATAATTCTTCTTCTTCTTCTTCTTCTTCTTCTTCTTCTTCTTCTTCTTCTTCTTCTTCTGCTTCTTCTTCTTCTTCTTTCCCTCACTCTTTCCCTCACTCTTTCCCTATTTCCCTCTCTATCCCTACTCACCCTTCTCTGCCTATTTATCTATTTATCACTCCCCACCCCTCTTTTTCTCCCTGTCTTTACCTTTCACATTTTCTCTTCCCTCACTCCCTCCCCCCTCTCTCTCTCCATCTCTTTCGCTTTCTCTCTCTCTCTCTTTCTGTCTGTCTGTCTGTCTGTTTGTCTGTCTGTCTGTCTGTCCGTCTGTCTCTCTCTCTCTCTCTCTCTCTCTCTCTCTCTCTCTCTCTCTCTCTCTCTCTCTCTCTCTCTCCCTCCCTCCCTCCCTCCCCCCCCCCAGGTACGTCACGGTCCCGTTTAACAAGACCCTGCCCCTGTTCGGACCCAAGGCATTCCGCTGGGATGACTATCAAGACCAGGACAACTGGCTCCGAGAGCCGTCCAGACAGGTAGTCAAGATGGTGGACTTCGGTGCTGGGAGGGACACTAACTACACGCACGCCGGTTACAAGATGAACCCCTGGTGAGCCAAACTTATAATACATATATATATATATATATATATATATATAATGTTTTCATTTTGGTAATTAGGCTTCACGGTAGTCATTCAAACCATTTTGAGAGGTGGGATGCTTTGACCCTGTACGCTATGTTAGACCCAACCTGGGCTCAGTAAAAAAAACTATTCATTCATTCGTTCATTCATTCATTTTAAAAGTTTATTCATTTATTTATGTATTTTGGTGACATTTATTTATTTATTTATTTAAATATTTAAAATACATTTTCATTCATTCATATTTAATAAATATTTATGTTAATTTATTCATTTTTAAACCACGTTGTCGCCCTTTTTTTTAATTGTTTATTATACTTTGTTCATTTGATAGTCTGTCTTAATTATATAAAGACTGGCTTATTCATTGAGGAGCCGCAACTCTTTGTAGAAAAATTTCCTGTTCCTTTCCTTGGATACGATCTTAAAATATGTAGCAGTCTGCTGATATGGACAAATAAGATGGCCAGTAGGGGAGAAAATGGGTCTAAAATACATGTAGGTTTTGTTTTAATACGATTTTTACGGCACTTACAACACAAATAGGTCATATTGTAAGTGCCGAGATTTTACTTAAGAGTAAGATACAAAGAAATAAAGGAGGAGAAATTAGGATAAATATTTGACAGGAAACAAGGAGCAAACCACACCAGAGCACCCGCCAAGCACCTTCAGAGGAGAGATAAGGTCAGTAGATATTTGGTAGAAGAGAAAGAGCAAACCACACAAGGGCATCTGCCTACCACCAACAAAGAGATAATATAAAGGCAATAGATTTAGGCAGGAAAGAAAGAACAAACCCCACCAGATCACCCATTAACCACCCACGCATGCTGTATACCCCTTTAGCCCCAATATAGAATTGAAAGAACAATCATACTTTCTACAGTGCTACCAGCTGTTTCACAGAAGAAGAATATGGCTTTTTTGGGCAGCATTTTATTTCAACATAGATCTGAAAATATTATGATTTCGCGTGTGTACATGTGTCTGTCTGTCCGTCTGACAATATTTATATATCTGTATTCGTGTGTGCATGCCTACCCGCGCCCGTGCGTGTGTGTGTGTGTGTGTGTGTGTGTGTGTGTGTGTGTGTGTGTGTGTGTGTGTGTGAGAGAGAGAGAGAGAGAGAGAGAGAGAGAGAGAGTGTGTGTGTGATGTGTGTGTGTGTGTGTATGTATGTGTGCATGTGCATAGTGCATGCACACGCGCGCACGCGTGTGTGTGTATGTGTGTATGTGTGTGTGTTTGTGTGTTTGTTTGTGTATTTGTACGTGTGCGCGAGCGCGGCGCGAGCGCGCCGCGAGCGTAGGAAGAGTGATTTCGTAACCAACGGAGATAGGTCATAGCAGCACATAAAACTAGCACAGGACAGAAAGCATTGAACAGAGATTTACTGAATAGGCACAAACGACTTCAAAGGGTGCAATTTCTGCACTCAAGTGGCTTTTCTTGTGCTGCCTGGGCGCCTTGACTGCAGAGTGACCTGACATAAGCCAGTGTGGACTGATGAATCGAGACCGCCGCCTGTGGCCTGGGGTTAATGTTCTCCCGTTTGTGATTTCGATTTCAACAACAAAAGGGTTTTTATCGAGTATTTCTTCCGGGTTTGTTTTTTTATCTTTCGGGTCAGACTCATCCCTATTAACCTGGGTGGGTCATGACAGGCAGAGGTGAAGAAGCCTGTCTTCCGCATAAATCAAGTTGTTCGTGTTGCTGTGGTGAATTGTTGTTATGTTGTTGTTTAGGATTATGCTGTTGCAATAGTAGTTGTTGTAGTTTATTGTGTTGTTGTTGTCGTCGTCGTTGTTATTGTTGTGTGTGTGATAGAGAAGTCGACGAGTTTGTTTTTTTTAGGGATGGGGACGTGTATTGTTGTTGTTGTTGTTGTTGTTGCTGTTGTTGTTGTTGTTGTGTGTGTGTGAGTATTTGTGTGTGTGTACGTGTGTCTGACGGATATAGGTGACAACGGAGTCAGTAAATAGTCTTCAGCCAATCTGCGACCCCGAGAAAAGTTGGGGAGGGGGAGGGGGTTCTCGCCAGGGCCCGCACCCTTTTTCAGACATCTCCTTTTGTTTGTTCTCTCCTTAAATCTTCCGTCTGCGGAGAGCAGAAGGTCATGCTGAAGAGGAGAAGGAGGTTCTCTTGGACTTTCGGATGCAGATGTTTCCGGAAGGTTGGAGGCTTATTGTTCGGGTCAGGTGCCCCGCGCGGTTTCATTTTGGAGATAGCGGACCATAACTCAATGCTAGTGTAATCGGGCTGAGCCTTTCCATAGGATTTTGTTAGATCTATTAGCCATTGTTGCAGCGCTCTAATCACTCCCCCAACCTCTTTTCTCAGGACCAGGCTGCTCACCTAGGGGTTGTTTTACGCATATGTCAGCTGTACGCCTGTCGGAAATGACTTGGTGTCAAAGTGCTCCGCTGTTTCGGGTGGTAAATTTGTCTCTGGAGTTCCGTTGGGGTTTTCCTGATCAGTTTCTATACTTAAGCGTCGTCAGGCGAGCTAGCAGTATCTTCCAACTGGTTTCGTCATGCGTCGGTTTTGGCCGTGCTGGTAGCTTCTTGTGCTCTCCCGTCAGGCCTCAAGTTATTCTCCCCGTCTCGACGGAGTTTGCTTCTCTCGCGGGTGGTTCCACTTACTTTGGTTGGTTCCCAAGACTTTGTCTCCTGCCTGACGTTACTGCTACAACGTGGGTGTTGGTGGTAGATATCAGGATTGATTTGAACTCTATCATCATGTTGCGAATAGTGTTAGTCGTCTTCATCATCATAATATAATATTATGGAGGGGCACCAACTGACAACCAAATTGACTGTACAATCAAGGGCACACTCTTGGAGAGCTTGCCCGCCATGTGTCAAGACGAAACCTAAGATGGAATCCCCAAGGGAGAGGCAGGCCGAGATCTACCTGGGATCGAGATCTGGAGGCAGATTTCAGACAGAATGGGACCCAACTGGCTAGCGGAAGAGATGATTTCCCAGAGCAGAGACAGGTGGAGAGCCCTTCTTGGTGGTCGCTTTCCTATATCGCGATGAAAGAGGTTGAGCGAAGGGGAGAGAGAGAGAGAGAGAGAGAGAGAGAGAGAGAGAGAGAGAGAGAGAGAGATTTCTTTTTTAAAGATTTCTTTTAAAGATTTCAAAATGATTTATTGATTTGAAAGGCCTTTGGCCCATACATCCACACATCTTAACAAATGGCTTGGCAATTACATACATTGGTGCAGCACATCGGATATTTAATATACATTGGGCACGCACGCACAAACACTCATACATACACACACACGCATGCACGCATGCACGCAGAGAGAGAGAGAGAGTGAGAGAGAGAGAGAGAGAAAGAGAGAGAGAGAGAGAGAGAGAGAGAGAGAGAGAGAGAGAGAGAGAGAGAGAGAGAGGGGGGGGATCAAAGCCGGACAAGCGCTTTTCTTCACCTTAAATAATTTCTTTCTACTCCGTTTGGCAGTGCACCATCTAAGCATAAACATGTTGTGTTTTAGTGTTTACAAGCTTACATTTTGAGGGTGGTTGGCGGGTGCTCTGGTATGGTTTGCTCATTCTTTCCTATCAAACATATATTGTCCTTATCTCTCCTCCTTTTCGTGTATGTTACTCTCTTGTAACACATCTATTCCTCGGCACTTATATTAGGACCTTATTGTTTTGCAAGTGTCGTTAAAGCTATCATTTTATCACAAAAGCAACGCAAAAGCATGTTTATTTACCCCCAAGCTAATTGGTTTTTAAATCATATATTTTTCCTTTGGAAAACCTATTTGCTTACGGTGTTTTCCAATAGTTTTCTACACTTCGTATACATTTACTTTTTCATCTACTCAACCCCCCTCCCCCCCTCCAACTCCTCATCTCCTTTTAAAACCCTCTCAGGTATAATACATGGCTACCCGACATCAAAGGAGACATGGACTCTTTGACCAAGTTCACGTATTACATTGGCATCAAGCGGTCTAATCAAACTGGTAAATTGTTTGGCTTTTGATCTTAGTTGTAGTGTACTCATTGTTCATAGCATTGATGATATTCATATTTCTCATTACTGTTTGTTGTTGACGTAGCTGCTGTCGATGCGGTTGTTGTTGTTGTTTTTGTTGTTATTGTTGTTGTTGTTGTTGTTGTTCTCGGTGGTGTTGTTGTTGTTGTTGTTGTTGTTGTTGTTGTTGTTGCACACACATTGTTGTTGTTGTTGTTAATAGGAGGGTAGTCGTAATGGTGGTTGTTGAGATAAAGGTACACGCATGCACGAATGGTGAGAGTTGTTTGTCTGATAAGGAGTGAGTGAGAGAGAGAGAGAGAGAGAGAGAGAGAGAGAGAGAGAGAGAGAGAGAGAGAGAGAGAGAGAGAGAGTGTGTGTGTGATGTGTGACACAGCGCTTTTCTTCACCTTAAATAATTTCTTTCTACTCCGTTTGGCAGTGCACCATCTAAGCATAAACATGTTGTGTTTTAGTGTTTACAAGCTTACATTTTGAGGGGGGTTGGCGGGTGCTCTGGTATGGTTTGCTCATTCTTTCCTATCAAACATATATTGTCCTTATCTCTCCTCCTTTTCGTGTATGTACTCTCTTGAAACACATCTATTCCGCGGCACTGATATTAGGACTTATTGTTTTGCAGGGGTCGTTTAAAGCCTATCATTTTTATCACAAAAGCAACGCAAAGCATGGTGTGATTTTACCCCCAAGCTAATTGGGTTTTTAATCATATATTTTTTCCTTTGGAAAAACCTATTTGCTTACCGGGGTTTTCAAAAAGTTTATTTATATTTTTTAAGTTCTCAATCAGTTTCTTATCCCCCCCCCCCCCCCAAACCTCCCGATCTTAGTTTTCAACGACTCTGTCTGCCCTGGAAGTCCTAGTTTCGTATAATTTGTATTAGTAATCGTATTGGTCTTGGTATTGGCATTAGTTTTAGTATTAGTATAAATATTAGCTTTAGTACTAGTATTCGTCTTAGTAAGTATTAGTAGTAGTATTGGTATTAGTATAAATATTAGTATAATCATTTCTACTACTCTAGAACTGTAGGCGTCATTGTCACGGACACAGACTTCATCAAGCTTGACTTCAACGCCTGTGGGGTCAGCCCTGGAAACCCAGGACCCAGTTATCTCTCAGGAGTCGCCAGATGCAGGCCCACCACGGGGGTATGTCATCATCATCATCATCATCATCATCATCATCATCATCATCATCATCATCATCATCACCATCATCATCAGCATCATCATCAGCATCATCATCATCATCATAATCGCATCCAGTTTCCTTATAATTGTAGTAGTAGTATATGGTTTTACGGCGCTCGCAACTGCTATTTCCTTAGATTGGAGAGGGAGGGGGAGGAAGCAAAACAGTCACAATCAGAGTCATCAATAATTTTATAATCAACTTCTTCGTCCGACATATGGGCCATTATTTTGGAATTGACCAAGTTACACGTATATTATATAATAAGGTGCCAAAATCGTTTAAAAAACAGCAGAATTCTTACTTTCTCGAATTTATTTACAGTGTAAGCACAAGATGGGCTACGGCTTCAAAAGAGGCGGTTATGTGTGTGTCTGCAAGTCCGGATGGCGATATCCCTGGTACCTGGACCCGCCCTATCAGGGCGACAGTGTGGAGCAGGCTACCCAGACGGAGTACCTTGGCGGATTCCAATGCACGCCCTCCGACTGTGAGCGCTAAGTCAGGCTGTAGTTTTAATAGTAAAAGTTTTACGGCACTTGCAACACAATGAATGTCATTTGCGTGCCGATTGATAGGAGGTGTTACAAGAGAGTGGCAAACGCAAAGAAAGAAGGAGGGGATATAATGACGACAGTTATTTGATAGGAAATAGGGATTAAACCAAACGAGAGCATCCGCCAACCGCCCAGTCATACTTGGTCCGGTTTGAATCTTGTATGTGTTGACAAATCTGTTTTAGAATTTTATTCAGTACCACTTAGGTAAGGGTCTGCCACTTTTTCTATTGTTACTTTCGATCTCTCTTTCTTTTGGGTTTTTTCTTTCTTTCTTTCTTTCTTTCTTTCTTTCTTTCTTTCTTTCTTTCTTTCTTTCCTTGTTTGTTTGTTTGTTTGTTTGTTTGTTTGTTTGTTTGTTTCTTCCTTTCTTTCTTTCTTTCTTCTTTTTTTTGTTTGACTTATTTTGTATAATATGATTTTATTTCTTCAAGCGTTCTTTACTGTGACTGTGATTTCTTGATTTGGTTTGTCTGTAAACATCGGAGATCAATTCTGCTTTTATTTTTTTTCTTTCACGTCTGCTGCTGTCTGTTTCTTTTTTTCTTTTTTATTTCGTCTATAGCCTTAACTAGAAGACATCAAACCGCCCCCACCCAGCTCAAAATGAATATAATGTATGTGAACATACTCGAGACATAGAAGTGAACGGCCTTTACTTGCTCTTTTTCGACTTGTTATCGGGAAAAGAGGAGGGAATGGGTGGCTATTCCTCTCTACTTTTTTAATTCTCGAAATATTTTGATAATTATTATTAATCCCCCTCAGACATAAAAGGTGTATAATGTTAAATGTGTCTCGTGGTTTTATCACAAGGGGAAAACTGCAAATGGCAGATAGAAGGAGTTTAATCCAGAAATCGGACTAAATGGTTCAAAGATCAAATGTTATTCTGACTATAAATTGAACGTAATCTGACACAACTTTCGTCACTGACATTCTGATTTTCTCCATAATTTTCCTTGAAAGTTCAGCATGTATTCTACCAGTCACCCCAACCCCTATCCCTCCACCAATTTTAAAAAAGCGTTTATGTTTTTGTTTTTGATTGTTTGGGGGCGGCGGTGGGTGAGAAGGAGGTGGTAGTTGGATATGAATATACTTTAAGTTCTTATTGTTCTCTGACAGGTGTCACGAATGCTTTTATGATACAAGAACACATTTGGGACACGTGTATACGATCCCCCAGAATTATAAATTTTATCTGACATTTTTGACCATTTTGAATTACTAAGACCATGAGGTCAGCAACCAAAAGTTCTATCTGCTGCATCAAAATTGTAAGGTTATTCGGAGTCTTAATCAAGATATTCAAAGCATTGCACTAAAAAGAAAACCTAATGATGTGAAACTCACAATCTTTGACGTCAAAGTTTTCAAAATTAGACATTGAGCAGATAAAACGTTGTGATTTTCTGAAGCAGAGTACATATAAACGATTAGTGTTTACCTTTGACTGCCGGCTCCGTTCTCTCAACTTCACTCCCACTTCTATATTACCACCACACCCCCCCCCCCCCCCCCCCCACTCCAAACGTGTTTATTTTTTAAAACCCGGAATAGGTTACAGATTTGCGTCGCTCCTTTTAAACTAATGCTGGACAAATTTCAAAGAGCTGTTTAAAAATGCAGGTTTTCTCCCTTGAATCTTGGCCAGATCGCTTGGTACTGCCTGTGGTGGACAATCTGTCTGGTGCTTCGGTAGAGGGCGCTGGTGGTATCGGCGCTGGGGGACGATTGGAGAAGAAATCTGGCGCCGGTCGGAGACGCAGGAACGCTGGTGGGTCATGACCTTGACATGACTGATACTGACTCACTGACCTTGGTTGAACTGGCCTTGCGATGACTTTACCTGGCATAATTGATCCTTTTTTTTTTTTTTTTGCTATGTGAATTTGACACGATAGAGACATGTTAGGCCGAGGTGTGGGACGGTGGAGAGAAAAAGGGGGGGGGGGATTGAAAAGGAAAGGAGAAGGGAAGGGCAGGTGTGCAAATTCCAACACAGGGGAATTATGAATCTGTACCTCTATAGTACATCTGTACAATTTATGTTTGTCTTTTTTATTGTAGGGTTGCAGTTTCTGCTATTCCTCATAGAAGTAGGCAGTCTTTGTTTGTATCATTTTCATTACTTCGGCCTTATAATATGAAAACTGTTTATTTAGAAATGTAAAGGAAAACTAAAGGTTAATAATTAGAAGCATCAAGGAGCTCAGATTCAAGAACATCATCATGGTCTTCATCATTGGGTGCTGGAACTGAAACAAACATCATCAGTCATGGTTTGCCACTCATTTCTCTGTTGGATGCTCACAAAAACAAACTTTTATTTTATCATCCCGGTCTTTCCCCGCCACCCATCTGGTGTAGTTCTCTAACTTAGGTTGTTCTACCCCTGCCTCTTTTGCTTTCTGTTTCTGTTTTCTGTGTTTTATAAAGGCATGTTTGACGGTGGCTTGGTCTGTAGTTTGAATCCGGGGTTTTCAGAATAATTGACGTATAACACGGTTAATATAATCATATTTAATGAAGCACTAACACTTCAGGAAAAAGGTTTTATTGCATAAATTATGGCACTAAACCATAACTTAACTGACAATTTTACTTATTTTTACTTTTACTTTTTCATCCTCTGTTGCCATTAAGGAGATGCAGTTTTCTATGGTAGGCCAGCTCTGCAGCTCTTTCAGTTGTGATGTTATGTTTTATTAGGGTTTCCTTGACACCCTCGATCCACCTTTTGCGTGGCCTTCCTCTTCTTTTATAGCCTGAGTGCCTGGTGTTGTAGGCTCTCAAGGCTGGCTGGTTAGGTGACATGCGTAACAGGTGGCCAAACCATTTTATCCTCTGTCTTTCTATGTAACGCAGGCAGGACTCGGTGCCGATAGCTGCTCTTACTTCTTCATTTCTCTGCCTGTCTCGTCTTGTGATGTTAAGGGTTTTGCAGAGACATTTCATTTCGCAAGCGGTGATTTTGCTTTCCTGGGTTTGGCTTAAGGTCCAGGTCTGGCACTGATAACATAATGTTGGTATGAATATTGAGGTGATAAGCTGTCTCTTTGTGTCCATGGAGATGTTGGGATGAGATATGAGTGGTGCGAGCTGGTAGGTGACAGCGTCGGCTTTTTGAGTTTGCATTTCTATTTCTCTGTCTATGGACCCGTTTTAAGAAAAAGTGCTGCCAAGATATTTAAAGTCTTTCATCTGTTTCAATTGTTTACTATTGACATGGATGTTCAGGGGACTATGGCTTCGGCTCACTTTCATAACTTCTGTTTTTGATGCTATTTTCATGTTGAATTTCTCACAGGTGTTGTTGAGTTTGGTAGTGTGATTTTGGAGGCTTTGTTGGTCATGATGAATTAGACATTGGTCGTCTGCGAACAGAAATTCATGTAGGCTTTCTGGGCTTTGGTTTGCTTCTTGCGTTATTGACAATTTTACAAGAAGGATAAATCAGTCTGCCACCACAGCTCATGCACAAAAGGATATTATTAGCGCCTGAGTTCAGCTCCTGTTTTTCTGTACTTTGTCCCCTTGTTTTTCATTTTGAATATCCATGGCCATGGTATCTCAAAGACAATGGGGTAAGGGGATTGGGGTGGGTGAAAAGAGTACGTAATAAAAGCATGCCATCGCTTAACATTAATATGCTGTCCCAAAACCCCCTCCTTTAGATAAGATTGGCTTTGAGAACAACAGATACAACCACAATGTTCCCGTAACTAACAGCCTCAGCTGGTAAGCAACAGGGGTGAGATCTCCAAAGTTCTCTTATAAGGGGTGCCCACTACGACTGGATCGGGCCGATCGACCGACTCGATCGCCTGAAACTGAAAACAAACACGCGATCGCCTGAAACTGAAAACAAACACGTTTGTTCTTGAGGCGATCGAGTCGGGCGATCGGCCCGATCGGCCAATCCCATCCGTAGAGGGCACCCCGTATTACATTAATTCTGTTTACGGGATCTGCATGAGTTCTGGAGAAAAAAAACAACGACTGCGATCCCTGCTTTACATTACTTTTTGCCCACAGAGAGAGCTCATAAAAGTGACATCAACTCCACGACTCTGTACCGTAGAGGCCACGAGGGTGAGGGATCGGCGTCGGGAGACGGGCACGACTTGGAGGAGCTCGCTCACCACAACACTGCCGTCAAGTACAGCATCTCAGACATGATGGCATTGGCTGAGAAACTGGCACAGATCCGGGTGAGGGGGGAGACTAATTAATTGTTGCACTGTTTGTGCTGCTGCTGCTGCTATTGTTGATGTTGTCGTTACTGTTGTGATTCATGTTGATGATGATGATGTCGTTGCCGTTGTTGTTTTGTTGTTGTTATTGATGATGATGATGATGATGATGATGATGATGATGATGATGATGATGATGATGATGATGATGATGATGATGATGAAGATGATGATATGATCGTATTGTGTTGCAAGTGTCTTAAAACATTTACTAAACCTACAAAAAAAAACTGATGATGTCACTGGCTTTGCTGCTGTTGTTACTGCTGTTGTTGCTGCTGTTGTTGCTGCTGTTGTTGCTGATGTTGTTGCTGCTGTTGTTGCTGCTGTTGTTGCTGCTGTTGTTGCTGCTGTTACTATTATCGTTGTTGTTGCCGCTGTTTGTTTTTGTTGATGATAATGGTAATTCTGCTGTTATTGCTCTTGTTATCTTCGTGTAGCTTATTTGTGCAAGTTGTATCCTTGTTATTGTTAGTGTTGTTTTCAGTTAAAACAATTAAGAAATTAAACGGTACGCATACCAGCACAACGAAGTTTTTTATTGAGAGCAACAGAGCAGCGGCCATGCCATTTCCCAGTTTAAGATATTATCATAATTCAGTCTATGAATGGAACTCTTTGTCTTTCTTTTCAGCGTGAAAATTCTGTTAAAGGCATGTTAAAAAAGAGCTAAAGATTAAGCAGATCTAAAAAGATTTAACAATTAAATAATAAAAAATTGTAAAATTTAAAAATTTAGAGAGGTGTGAGGATTGCAAAGGATGGAAACGTAACACTTTTTTAAAACGCTTTTCTTTTGACTTTGACTCGTGGCTTACATAATATATCTACATTTCTTTATTTATACTGGCAGGGTGAAGTTGAGACAAAAGGAATCTACACACATCAAGGTTCAGGCGTGACAATGACATTCGAGACTTCAATTGAAGACGACTATGCTGAGAAAAACAACGTTGCCCAGAGCGTAGAGAAAGAGTATCAGGTACCGCTATTGTTTTATTGTCAACTTACAACTGTGTTTTCTTCAGTGATTTATATTAAACTGTTGTCGTTTAGGACCCTGGTAAAACAAACAAAATCTTTCAAGAGGTGCTTCTCAGATCTAACACAAACAATGTTGGATATATTCCTGCAGAAGGATAAGTATTACGAAATAACTGTCGTAGATGGAGTCGAAAGTGTGCCATTTGTGTGAAAGTCGTGAATCCTGAGCATTACATATTTCTAGCAGAGTTTTTGTATGTAAACAAGAAATTACCTGTTCCTAGGGCGCAATGAAAAGGCTTTTTGCTTGCAAGCACGATTTGAGTTCTATTCAAACAAGCGAAAAAAAGGCATCTACGGTTTCCAAATTTCTGTTTGGATGCGTTATCTCCCTCGAGTCTGGTTTGGCTCTATTTTTATTGCAGGTGATTTACGCCCACCATCTGCACAATTTAGATCATTAAGGAGGCGGGCTTTGATTACGCCTGTCAGGGCCCACCAGGGCCGAAAGTGATACAGTGTCCCAGCAGAAAGGTCGAGATACTTGATTAGAAACAAATAATCCCACAAAGGAACCGAAATCAGGCCGTTACACCACAGACGCCAGCTCTGACCAGCAGGGTCCAAGTAACCCATTTCCTACAAGAACTCGGTTGTATTGATGAGAATGCAAACATTTCAAACCTTTGGCAATTACTCGAGAAAGCCTAAATTGCTTAAACAGAAGCCGATTTCAAAAGCGTTACAAGTTTAATACTTTTAGTATGATTTTCCTTAAATGAGTTTTAAATCAATAACTTATAGTTCTTACGACGCATTCAAATGGACTTAAGGTAAAAGTCTCATAGACTGACCAAATCCAGAACCGACTTTATGATAGTGATTTTAGAAACGTCAATTGAAAAGTCAGAAAAATACCTTTCAAAGTCTGAAAAATTTCAAACACATAGTCCCACTTATGCCGAGGGTGGTTTAATCTCTGAAAACGAAATTGTCCACAAATTTTCTTTTAGCGACATTTACATGTTATAACACGTTTGATGCTATTTTAAGGAGGGACCTATGGTGTGCTCAAAAGGTTGCAGCAGTGGTTGTTCTCAACGAATTTCTTGAGGAGAAAAGAAAAAAAAAATCATTGTTGCGGCGGCATCTGTAGTACTAAGTAAAATCAACTTAGTTAATAAGACAAGTAGGCTAGATTTAGAGAGTGGACACTTTTGTTGTATAGTTTCTATGATTCAGTGTCATGCGTTTTTTGTTTTTTTACAAAGTATAAGTTTGCCTCCCCCCCCCCCCCCCCCCCCCCCCGCCAGCAATAATAACCCACATAAAGTTGACACAGTTTAGATCATTTAGGAAGCGATCTGTTTCGATGTTTCGACCGTGCTTGTGAGGACCGTACCCTGCTGAGCGGAATAGAATTTCCTAGCTGACGGGCAAAGATCCTCGACTGAAAAAAAACCCTTCCCATTTCGGGAATTGAAGTCAGCGTCATGTGCTGGCAAGTCCGAAGAGCCTAATCATTGTAGAGCATTGTAGACGCCGGTCGAATGCGGTTCTCAAAAATAATAATATTATTTAAGAATATCTTACTCCCTTGAACTTTTTGTTTGTCAAGCTCCACAGCTCATGCAAAGTGTATGCCAGTGTCCCGTGTTGTCTTATTTAATTATGCATAATGGAATATGACGCCGGCTGATGTAGCCTGATTTTAAGTCAGGTACCCGTGAGGGTGCGGTGACGGAGCGGTTAGTGCGCTCGTCTCCGAAGCGGAAAGTCCGGGTTTGAGCTTCAGTTCGGACATGGATTCTTTTCGCCAACTCCTGCCCTCCAAGCTGTAATGGGTACCTGACTTCGAGTTTGGGAAGTAAAGGCGGTGTGGAAAGGAACTGGTCACCCTACCACAATATTATGCCGAAGGCCCAGGAAGTTGTCTCACTAACAAAGGCAATCCCCAATTTTCGGATCGGAGGCGGGAACAACTTTACTTTACCCATCCCCATCTTTTTACCCAAATTGTTCCTCGCCACAGAAAGACGTGAAGGAGCACCACACACTGCGGCAGGCTCTGGAGTTGGATTACCGAGAGCACGGGGGGAACCTGACCCTCACAGCGGAGACTCTGAGAGACAGCGTCGTGAGAGTCAGAGACAGGCATATACAGCGCTTTCAAGTAAGCAAAGAAAAAACGAAGGGAATAAAGAAAATAATTAAAGAAAGAAAGAAAGATAGACAGAAGGACAGAAAGAGAGAGAGAAAGAAAAGTACAGAGAAGAAAAAGAAAGAAAGAAAAAAGAAAGAAAGACATACCCTGTAAAAATAATGTGGTGTACAATTGTGTAGACACCTTAAAAGTTTACTACACATCACAATACGAAAACAGTACTATAATTGTATCTCTTTCTTAGTCCTATTTCTCTAATAAAAGGATGAAGCAATATAAAATAATGGTTATTGGGTATTAAACATGATTCCTCACCCCAGGACCTACTAAAATATCCGGTCACGATTTGTTATTTTGCCCATTTGTAGACTGCAATAGAATTACTGTCCTGTTTCTTCTCGGAGACTACATAATATAATCAGTCAAATGTTGAAATCTAAGCTCTGCTAAGGACGCTGTAGATCATTTCGAAGGTTTTCCTACGTTTGGACAAAGGAATGGGAGGAACTATTTTAGATATATAAGAAAATTATGCGTATACCCCTCTCGGAATTAAAACTCGTTTTTCTACTTGGAAGATCAAGTTTTGTAGCTTACCCCAGCTCTGCAGTCGGAAAAATTTCAGAGCAGTGGGCAGTCGTTTAACCAGTTCAGAGCAGAGGCGTCGCCATCTATGTCTGTAAAGACACGCTAAAAAATGGTCATTCGAGAGAGCATTTTAAGAAAGCTACAACCCCC